AAAAAAAAAAAAAAAAAAGACAGACAGGAAAGGAGGAAGTTAAATTATTCTTATTTGTAGATGACATGATACTATGCACAGAAGACCCCCAAAACTCCACCAAAAGACTTCTAGATTTAATAACCAAAGTCAGCGGCATAGCTGATAAAAAATAAACAAAAAAATCAACAGTCCTATAACAAATAACAAACTCACTGAGAAAGAAATTATGGAAACACATCTTTCACAACACCACCCAAAACAATGAAATACCTAGGAGTCAATCTAAGAAAGGAAGTAAAAGACCTTTACATGGAAAACTACAGTACTCTGAGAAAGGAGATTGAAGAGGATATCAGAAAATACAAAGATGTTCCTTGTTCTTGGGTAGGAAGAACCAATACAGTGAAAATGGCCATACTTCCAAAACTGTTACACAGATTTAATGCAATCCAGATCAAATTACCAAAAGCACGTCTCACAAAATTAAAGAAAACAATCCTAAAATTCACACGGAACCAGAAGGGACATAGAACATCAAAAGCAATTCTACACAACAAAGGCAAGGCAGGAAGCATCACAATCCCCAACTTGAAATTATAGTACAAAGCTGTGACAAAAACAGCACGGTACTGGCAACAAAAAAAACAGACCCAAGGATCAAAGGAACAGATTAGAAGACACAGAAACAAGTCCAAACATACTTAGCCACTTTATCTTTGACAAAGGAGCCAAACACCTTCACTGGAAGAAAAATAGCCTCTCTAAAAAATGACGCTGGAAAAACTGGCTTTCCACATAAAGATTAAAACTAGACTCATACCTTTCACTAGTTTTTAACTTTCTATAAACCTCATATACCCAAATATATAGTCTATGGACAAAGGTTGAGGTATGTGACATATCAGTGTTTGTCTTGATCTCTTATCAGCATTTTTAAAAAGTACACAAATATGCACAATGATAAGTCACAATAAATCAAACTATATTAGAATTTAATAGTAAAGTACTTAAGTCTGACAAAAGAGTCTCAAATCAATAATTAAAGGCTTATAATTTAAAATGTAGCACCTTTCTCAAGTATCTAATTAGCAACATCATTTTTCTTTACTTGGCACTTCAATCAGGCAAGGATGAGACAAATGATCATTTACACACCTGTGTATTGGTATGGCATTTTCAGTTCACATCCTTTGCCAAGTCATCTACTTCTGGGAATCAAACACACAGAGAAAAATAATGCAATAATATATTCAAAAATAAGTAGAGGTATAAGGACTTAAGTTCAACAATGGGCTAATCATATGGTAGGTACATCCCTAAAAATACATTATTCATTAAAAATCAGCTTTTGGAAAAATTGTTTGACATAGCGAAATGCTTGCCATAGCATTAGGTGGAGAAATTATATAAAAGTGAATATGGTACTACAGCTACACTGAAGAGACAAAGAATACATAAGAATTTATGTAGTGATCTCATCTTTTTTAAATGTTATGCACTATTTTCTGTTAACATTTCTAAAAGAAAGGCACTGTTAACTAGTGGTTTTTATAGTTACAATATTTTAAGCCATGTATCTTAATATCTTTATTATACCAAAGATGACCAATTACAGTTACATTTCCAAGACGTAATTTAATGTCCTGCTTTAAACACTCAAATGTATGTAGAGCAGTGCTTCCTCAACTTTAGGAAGGGGAATAAGGACAGTCCTGGCAACAATCAGAACCCTGGTGCCCAGGATGTGCTGATTACAGGGATCAGAGAAATGCTGACAACAGTCAAAATGTAGCTCATTTCAGTTCAAGCTCCATCTTTTAGGCGACTACACTTTTATGACATTTGTTACTAAGGCCAAAATTCATCATATTTGACCTAAGACAAACTATAGCTAACTACTGATGTTACATCTAACCTTATTAAAACACAATAAAATAAGAAGAGCAAATAGCATTTCTACTCACTTGTAGCAGACAATGATATAAAATATCAAACTCAAAATCAGAATCTTTAAATTTGATGAAAATAATTCTTAAGGGTCTTTACATTAATGACATTAAATTACTCAAATAGTCAAGCAAAAACAAGAGACTCAAAAAGTTCACAGGGGAAGGCATAATACTTACTATTACAAAACAAGTGCACAGTTAAGACTCTTGATACCATGCAGAAAATTGGAGAAACACTTATATGTACAGAATAGGCAGGGGGAATAAGTCATATTGTGTTCACAAGAACACAACTACCCAGCTAAATCTTGTTTCTACTGGGAAAAGATTAAGTTCTCAATCACTTTTCAAATAACGTAACTTGGCACCAGGAAAGCCCTCTTTCCAGCAATTTATGGAACTGCAAAGTGAGAGTACACAATATGTTTGCCTCTGTGTTTGTGATCAAAGAAATTAAACTGAGGGCCGGGGATTTAGCTCACTGGTTCCACTGCCTATCTCATAAGCACAAGGTCCCGAGTTCAATCCCAGGTACAAAAAAACAAAAAACAAAAAACCACCAAAATTAAACTGAAATAGAAGTCCAAAGGAAGGGTTAATAAAATAGTTTTAACTGTTAGTTGCTGTGTCACTTTCTACCATCCCTGATCAATCTCATTCCTTCATTCCTGGTTTCTAAGTCATAAAAATAGGCTTTAAAAAAAAAAAATCAACATTTATGCCATTTACGGGTTTAATAGGGTCATTCTACATTAATCATTATCATTTACATACACAGTTCTAAAGTCCCCTGAGAGACAGGTGTAGTCACACAGCACAGGGTGTGAGCTCCACTCCACCAGCATCCCATACTCTCAAGTTTGGAAGGAGCCCAACAACACAACTTATTTATTTTTCATCCCAGTGCAGTGCCTGGTTTAGATAAGACTAAGTAAGCATCTGCTAAGAGAAGCAAACAGAATAAAAACTGTGTTATAGTTTCAAGATTCTAATCTATCCATCAGACCAGTAAGATGTTACCACCACTAAATTCAAATAATAATTCCCCTGACTGTTTATATGGCACTTTAAATATACTCTACCACAGCATTTACTAAATTGTCAGTAGTAGTATATGTTTACCTGAAGATTCTTTTGATGGGAGAAGTGACCACTTCCATTTTTATACTAGCAACTTGATCTGTAATTCCAGCACTTTACTGCTATGCATTATATATAAGCAGACCTGCCATTTAATCAAAATGTATTTTCGGAATTATGACAAACATACTCTATATTTTGTTATCCTTTCTCTGATTACAGTAATAATTTCTACCTATAAGTCTTCTACAACTAAAAACTTAAAAAGGATGAACCACAAATCACACTTCACACTGGATTCACTGATGTGCACAATTACCTTATCTCTATCATGAGCCTACTTGACAGTTCTAAGTAGTGTAAGAATAGAAGGCCTAAATTCTAAAACTTTCCTTCCTCATAATCTGCTTGTTTCAACTGTTGGTAAATCTGGAGGTCATCATAAAGTTCTCCCTCAGTTTGTCAAAATATACATTAAGTGGAATCAACAGTAACTCTACAATATTACAATTCTACCAATTTTTCAATCATCAAAAGGAAAAATTATGTCTCTTCATATACCACTTAATTCTATTAATACAATTAAGTATTCATTTTTTAATGCTTCAAAATTATTTTAGTTTTCTTCCACTTTCCCTTCTGAAAACCCAATCCAGGAAGTCATCAGAACACACAAATGTGGCCAGGGATTTAGCTCAGTGGTTCTACCGCCTGCCTCACAAATACAAGGACCCGAGTTATATCCCCACCTCCCCAACCCCTGGTAAAAAAAGAAACTTACGGCGGACCCGTGAAAGAGCCTGTGAAGGAGCGTGCCACCATGACCCACAGTAGGGTATCAGCACCTCCAAGGTGGGGACAGCTCCCAGGGAGTCTGGCTTGAAGTGGGAATCCACAGAGGGTTTAAGGGGGCATCTGCACAGGAAGTCCTGACATAAGAAATGGGTAAGCAGAGTCGCTACCTCAGAGAAGGCAAGGGAAGAACAGTGTAGGGAGATGCTTACATATAGTAGAACTGCCCACATATGGAGGATAATGATGTCTTATAAAAGATGAAGATCAGAATGATCCCTGTGGTAAATGAAGTTGGAGATGGCAGTGTGAACTGAGGTTTTTCAGCATACATAGAGAGATACAGATGTTGTATAAATGCATTTATGTGTGTTCATGTAAATAAAAATTTGTTCTGATTTTGGCTGGTACATAGGAGAATCACTCTGAAACATAATTTGTTTTCATATATTAATTGGTATATTATGGTTATATAGAATACTTTTTTTTTTTTTTGAGACACTGGGATTGAACCCAGTACCTGCATGATAGGCCACATCCTCAGCCTTTTAAAATTTATTTTCAGACAGGGTCTAAGTTGTCCAAGCTGGCTTTGAATTTGGGATTCTCCGGCTTCAGCCTCCAGAGTACTGGGATTACAGGGATATGCATTACACCCAGGAGGAAAACATTTTTGAGAAAGCAAATACAGTATCAAGGGTACAATGGAGAATCATGCATCTCAAATATTTCATGGGGAAAAAGTTACATACTGCACTTGTGACTTGTGTTTAGATTTGTTTCAAAATGGAGAATACATTTCGGCATAGTAACCAATATAAATTAATGTGACACACTTCTAACTATATAAAATATTTTGTATCTATAAGTCTCAATATTTTAGGTAAGTAACTCCTTGAAACTCTAATTGATTCCTCCTTAGAAAATTGACACATGACAAAAACACCTCAACTGTATTTCAAGAGGTTTAGAAGGTAAGTGAAACCATTCAGTGTCCTCCTTCCCTGTTAAAAAAATGTCCTCCTTTTCCATCCTCCATGCCCTGCTAAAAAAAATCTGGTCCATGGGTCTTCTGTGTCTTAGCCATCACTTTAAAGTGCCTCTCACATACAAAAGAACCCAGATATAAATACACAGAAATTATATTTAAATAAGTCCTTGTTTATTAAAAAGTTTGATATTTCATAGGAAAGTTATACCTTCTTAATCTGTAAAATAATTGTGAGGTTCTGTAGTTCTAAAGTGAAACAAGTATGATATACTGGCATAAAAATGTTTCCAACAAAATCTATCTGCTCACTAACAAAAAAAATTCTTACTTGGGAGAGAATAAAATAGATTCATAATAGAAAATAGAAAATTTCTTACTTGGGAGAGAATAAAATAGATTCATAATATGAAACTATTCAACCTACAAATGTTCTTTAGAAAAGATGTACCAAGAGTACTGAAGAGCAATATGCTGACCTCCTTTGCTTCTGGGCTACTGTGGTCACAGCAGAAGCAGTATTACCATCTCATACTTAAATGATATTTCAGATAAATGTGGTACAGCCAGCCACCCAGGAAAAGGACGGACCCACTTTACCCTCAATAGTGTCTGACCTCCACATCCTGGACTAGGAGATCTAGAAATTGCCCATTAAGGATCAAGACAACAGGAAAACTACACACTAAATAGTTTTCCTGTATAAAACTGTTTTCATCTGTTAATAAAAAACATATGTTCCCTTCATAACCTTGTCTTAAAAGTCCTAGCATCTTTCCATTCAGTTCTCTATTCTTTGAAATTTTAGTACTGACCACTCATTTATGTACCAAAACTAGCTAATTTAACTCAACAAATACTGCATCTCTTTATTTCCATCCACACATCCAATAAATCTTGAGTATATTCAGTATCAGGAGAACAATTTCTCCAGGTCTCAAAAACATGCTTATCTTTCCTCCTTAATAGCATAAATACTATAAAGTGTATCTTAGGGCCTGTCTTTCCAACATCAGAGTATCTTCAATTACTCATTTCTAAAGACCACATTAGGATAGAAGATGTATGAGGCAAAAATGTACTATAAATTATAACTTGAAGTCTTAAGAATATATATGTTTTAAATTACACATTTTAAAAATCTAAATCAAACTGAGTATTACCAAAATCACATTTCTGATAAAATGTCAATCTAGACACAGCTCCTGTTACAAAACCAAGACTCCCAATCTGTAAGACTGTTTTACAAGCATTTTTCTGAATCACTGCTCCAGAATGACTAAAATTACATTAGACAATTAAGTTAACAAAACAAATATATTCATTACTGAAAAAATCTCACTAAGAAATTACAAGTACTGTTTAACTCAGACATTATCATGAAAAAATTCCCTTCTCAGAGAGGCAGGTTCTTCCCTAAAGATTCAAAGTAGATCCCATCATGTTTATTTCCTTCTTGAAAATATAATCTGTAGTTATTTTACTTACTGTTTACTTAGTTGCATATCTCCCCAAAATTAACATAAACTCCAGTAATCTTCCTCAACAAATAACACAAAACTACTGTACTTGTAACTGTAATAATATATTTACAAGGGAAGATAAATGAACTTAAACCAAAGTGTAAGAAAAAAACAAAAACGCACAGGCTTCTAAAAATAGGGCTTATAATACAGTTTTAGAATTACGTAACCATTTTTAAAAAAGTAACACAACTATCATATTCTGACCTTGCAACTTACATTTTAAAAATCTACCTGGATTTAAGACTTCAAAATTAAAAATTAAGCAAGTGACACATGCCTGCAGTCCCAGCTACTTGGGAGGCAGACACAGTGGATCACTTGAACCTAAGACTTCCAGGGCACCCAAACACCATGGCCTTAAAAAGAACTCATGAAACAAAGCATCACTCAACATATTTGGAATAAATAAAACACATGTCTACATTTTTTCATCACATATATAGCCAAATATTTCATCTGTTATCTTTATTCTTTTCTTTGCTCCATTATAAACTTTTTTATAATTTTTGTTGTTGTTGTTTTTGAGATAGGGTCTTACTATGTAGTTGAGACTGACCTAGAACTCATTATATAGCCCAGGCTCGTCTTGAACTCAAGTGATCCTCCTGCCTCAGCCTCCTGAATGCTGCGATTATAGGCGTGTGCCACCACGTATGGCAACGTTTTTATAAATTAACTTTTAAGCCAAATGTTGGATAGCTTGACTTAACCAACAGACAGAATTCTGCTAAGTTCAAGAAGTTATTCTTTAAACTAAAATTCTAATACCTCACTTTCCCAAAATGTAACTGTTACAGTTCTCCTAACAGACCTACACTTGTCTCAAGTTTATTGTTTAAGATTATTAACACTATAACATAAAATTAAGATGTAGATTTTCTTCATATATAATGATTTTACCATCCTACAGAAGAAAAGGTACATTCTCCTTTATTTCATCCACTACTAGGACCACCCTTACTCTACAGTGGCAATTTGCAAGCCAGGTGTACTACTGAACCAGAGCCAGGTTTGATTCTCAAAAAAAGGCCAAGCCAGGTGTGGTGGTACATGCCCATAATCCCAGCACTCAGGAGACTGAGGCAGGATTACTGTGAGTTCCAGCCTGGGCTACATAGTGAGTTCCAGGTCAGTCTCAACTACATAGTGAGATCCTGTCTAAAAAAAAAAAATGAATCAAAGGCCAGGGATTAGTTCAGTGGCACAGTGCCTGCCCGACCCACAAGTGCAAGATCCTGAGTTTGATCCCTGGTATCGAGAAAGCAAACAAACAAACAAAAAAAACAAAATCAAACTTGTAAACTTTATGTTTTAACTGTGAATGATCACAAAGCATATAGCTTCCACATAGCCACAGACTGAGCAACAGGTAAAGTATTTTGGTCAATAGATAAAATATTCTTCCTTTCAATGAAGGAATATTTCTTAGCCAATTTAGTAACAAAATAGAAATACTAGATGATGGAACAAGTTTGGCAAAAAGGAATGCTCACTCCTTAAAATATTAAGCATCAATTAAATTTCCATAGTTAATGACAGTCAATCCACTATCCTGCCTTCCACTTTCTTAAAGGAAATAGACATAACAAAGTTGCAGCATGCTCAGGAGTAAGGGTCTAAAGTCACACTACCGGAGATGAAAATACTAGTTATCTCAGAGTAAGACTGTCCTACTCATGGCAAAGGTGCAGCATGTGTCGTGATGATGCTACCAACCTACAGTCAAAATAACCCTGAACAGTATCTTCAAATGGACTACAGGGTAGGGACAGATGTTCAGAGGATGAAACACAAAAGGCAAATTAATGGCACTGACTCAGAGAACAGAGTGAACCATACCTCACTCACATCAGGGCCCATACTCAAAGAATGGTATTCCAAGGGCAATCATTTCTATTCTTTTTACAATTCAGAGCACGTATTTGTTTAAGTTAAACACTCATGTGATCTGACTTCACTATAGTAGATAAGCTAAGGAACAAATTTATTCTTGGGTAATAAGGGTAAGTAACTACCATTTCTCAACTTTTACTTGCTACCTTAAAAAACAAAAAAAGAAGCAAGTATTTAAAGTCCTATTATGCCACTAAATTAAATTTTAAAATGAATTCATATAAGGTCAAATATGACATACCTTCACTGCAGTTATTTGGCCTATTATTTTCTTAAATTTATTCACAGCCGATTAACACTGCAAAACTTAGATCAAATTCCATTGTAGTGTGAAATGATAACTTACCTACTACCATAAGTGTGAATTCAAACCCTCTCTTCACTGACTTTCTATACACTTGATTTGGGAGATTGGCAAATCCCACATAGCCTTCAAGGTTCTTCGGTTGCTAAAAAGGTAAAGAGCCATTATTATTTATGTATCAAAAATATTATTCTGTTATACTTTAAAAATTTCCTTCATTAACCTATTTAAGAAAATTATACAAACTATTATACAGAGCAAATCAAATTGTTATGTTGTTATTAGCAGAAGTATTAATTAATCTCTGAATGGACAAAATGAACTAAGCATGAGTGGATTTAACATTGTAATGGTTAATTATAAAAACCCAAAGAAATAAAAATTAAACCTGTTTCAGAGCAAAGGTCTTAACTGACTATTAGTACAAGATTCTGACCAATCAAAACAACATGAGTTTTTCCCAATGAAAAAACTCAAATCCTATTAAGACTCTATTAACCCTTTTTAAACTATCACCTTTGTTGATACAAGCATAGGTTTGTATTTTTTGAAATCTTCTGATTCATGAGATGAAATCAAAACATTGAGTTTAAAGCAATTCTTTCATAAATTCTTGAAGGCTCTCAAGATCAATGCCAATCAGCAAATAGAATCTTTTAAGCTGTTATGCCAGGTCCAATTATGCCACCTCAAAGATTCACATGATCCTGCTTGCTGCCTTCATCTTCAGGAAAATCAAATTTATCCAGGTTGTAAAGTAAATTGTAACTCTTCGCTATATGGCTTTTTGAAACAATTGTTTCACAAGTAACTCAAACAAATCTAATTCTAAATTGGTATAGTAAATGAGTCTGATTTCTAACTTTACCATTGGTAAGAAGCACTGTCTACAGTTCAGCCTACCTGAGAGCAGTCTTGCTGATGAATTTTACTATAGAGGCAGAGCTTGGTCATCATTAAAATGCAATGGCAAAGCAGCCCTCTGAGAGATGTATATCTCTTGAAAGTTTATGCCACATTTAAATGCTCACTTAAAAAGAACTCATGAATCAAAGCATCAACAACACATTTGGAATAAATAAAACACAAGTCTACATTTTTTCATCACATATGTAGCCAAATATTTCAACCACTATCTTTACTTTTTTTATACTCCATTATACAATTTTTTATAAATTAACTTTTAAGCCAAATGTTGAAAAGCCAAGTTAGTGAATTAAACTGAAAAAGTAATTTTAAACATAATTAGGATTGATCCGAATATAGTATTATAAAGTCAAATATTTGAAAGTCCACTGTGGATAGAGCTAAAAATATGTATTAAATATAAAATTCTACTGGCTCATATTTATCTAACTGTAAGTTAAATTTAAATCAAACTGAGAAAAGTCACTGTATAAATTATGTAGTATACTCACAGCTACTTTGTGAAGAACATATTTCCATCATTTCAGCGTTTCAGATTCCAACAGAAAAAAAATTCACAGAGGAACAGTAAATGAGGAATTCCAAAAATTGTAGAGATACATTCAGTCCATACAGGAGTGGTAAATCCATTGGAACATAGCGAAAGATAGAAAAATGAAAGTTACTTAAATGTAAATGAACAAAGTAGAGGTAAGTTACAAATACACTGATAGCAGTCTTTTCTCTATGTCAAAGTAATACTTTGGGGTGAGATGGGGATAAGGCCTAGTGAGTGTAAACTACTGTTTTCAACACCTCTCCTGCTGAAATACAGAAAAAAGACCTCCTATCTTTTTATAAAGTCCACTTGTTACATCCTGTACACAAAGTCTTTTGGATATAGTGGGGAAGATGTAAAAGAATAAAATTTCAGGAGAGTATACATAGGCCAATCTAAATTCTGCGAAGAAAAAACTACATTTCATACAATTTCATTCTGTCAGTCACTGTATTTGAGACAGATTCGAAAAGAACCAGAAAAATGTAAACACTTTAGCTAAAATATTTCCATGCAATGCTGTATTTCCAGTTCTACTGATTATTCTAAAATTCAGAATTGGAAGAAATTCTCACATTGGTAGAATGGGGAAAAAGAAAGGGAAGAAAATCAAAGGCCATAAGCAGTGACACATGGAAGGATATGGAAATGTGGGCTATGAAAACTGAAAGGTAATAAAGCACAGAGAAGAAAAAAACAATCCTTGGATAATCTTTTAAGTTAGACTAATACAAATCTTTGCATTGTAGTATCACAATTTACTTTAAACAATTTAAGGCAGTTAAGGAATTACTGTAAATGTATAGTTAATTAAATTTAATAGATGAAATCGAGTTTTAAGTAAATTAATTACAAAATTATTTTCCCAAAACCCTCCAATGACTTCCCATTTCCCTCAAAAGCAAAATTCAATGTTCTAATAATGGCCTCTACTGTAGTTCTCAGCCTTAGCTGCAGCTTAGAAATCTCCTGGGGAGAGTCTATCAAAACCCCAACCCTGTTTGCACCCCAATCCAACTGTCTGTCTCTCTGGGAGTAGGACCAGCTATGAGCAGAGTTCCAGTGCGCAGCCACCAGCTGCCCACCCTGTGAGAAAGGGCTCTGCAGCTTCTCTGGCCTCATCTCCTGAGGCTTCTTCCTCTTGCTCGCTTTTCTTCTGGCCAAACTGGACCCCTACTTACTTCCTGAACATACCATGATGCTTTCACCTCAAGACTTTGGCACTTAAAGGATCATTATCTTAAAGAGGCCTCCCTATCCATCCTATTTACAATTAACCCACTCCTCACCCTAGTATTTGGCTGCTTTTTACTGATTCTCCTCAGCATTTCTCACCATCTAACAGGTATTGTACTCATCTTGGTGGCTGGGATCTCTACCCCCCCCCCACACGCTGTCTTCAACTAGAACGTAAGCTCCATCAAGACAGCAACTAAAGAAACAGCATAAATTATTACATCAAGAGAGCAGAAGCCACCTGGGAGAGCTGAAAAGGGTTCAGAGAACCAGAGAGACACAAGAGGAATGAATGCCTTAGAGCCTGGCCCTGTGTCTTATTCACTGTTTTATCCCCAGAATAGTCTTTGCACCGATGAGTTAAGGGGGCAGGGAGTGGGAGGGCATTCCAGGCAAAAGGGTAACTCTAAATTGGAAATAAACTTGGTATTTCCAGGAACAAAAAGGAGGTATGTGAATTATAACAAAGGAAAGTAATGGACAAGGAGATTAGTAATAAGAAACAGATCAGGGAAGAAGGAAGGGGCCATATCATGGAGGATTCAGCCACATTAGGAAGTCTGGATGTTATTTTGGGCAAGATGGGAAGCCACTGGAGGGTTTTCACAGGCAAGTGACCTGATTAGTGTTTTAAAGATAGCTCTCACTGCCAAGTGAAAAAATGGAAATAAGAAAACCAGTAAAGAGGCTACTGCCATAGTCCAGGAAAGAAAGGTATATTGAATTAAGATGGTAAGGAAGTAATGAAAAATTGAGGACTCAAAATACACTTTGAAGGCAGAGTTGACAGGATGTTGCTACTGGAGTGGATATGACTAATGAAGGAAAAAGAAAACAAGGTAACTAGGTTTTCCATTTGAACAACTCAACAGCTAATGACATCTTAGGAAAATAGGGAGCAATGAAGAAGGAAAAAATTGAGTGTTGAGAACCAAATCAAAAACAGCTTTGAGCTGGGCATGATGGTGCACACTTGTAATCCCAGCACTCAGGAGGCTGAGGCAGGAGAATCACTGGGAGTTTGAGGCCGGCCTGGGCTACATAGTGAGTTCAAAGCCAGCCTGAACTAATAATGAAAACCTGTCTCAAAAAACAAACAAACAAATGAACAAAATCCAGCTTTGAACGTGTTAAGTTAGGGGTATCTATTATATATTCAAGAAGACAAGTCCAGAGGGCAATTCCTCCTGAAACTCTGTGATTGGTTGGTGCTGAAAATAAAGACAGTGACTCCTGAGCACACAGATACTACTGAGTGGGGAGTGGATTTCTAATGAAAGATTACAGACACAGAGAGGTACCAGACAGATCTCTGGGGCATTACCAATGTTGACAGGTTAAACCAAGAAAGAGCAGCCAGTGGGGTGAGAGGAAAACCAAGAATGGAATGTCACTAAACTGAATTAAATGCTATAGAAAAATAAAATGAACAAATAGAGATGTGACCACCAATGCAGAAATAAAGCTGCTGGTAACTTTTAACAAAAGCATCTTAGTAACAGGAAGGAGATTAACTACGTTGACTTAAAGCAGACAATTCCTTACATATAATTATTGCAACATTTTAAATTATCTAAAAGTTATTTAAAACATTTGACTTGCCAATTCCCCCATATGACTGACTGCCAGTGGGAAAGAACTGTGTCAGTCATTTGTATAACCCTGGAATCTCTGCAATGTGCCAAAACACAGCTGATACCCAAACAAGTGAGCCACAAAGCTTTCAGGAATACTTTTAAAGAAATTTTGTCAAAAAATGAAAGACAAATTGGTTTGGCTACTTCTGCAAAACAAATTATCCCACAGTTTGCAGTGTCCCATCCAATACAAAAAATATAAATCTGAACCTACCTGGCACCAAAATATTATTTAGAAAATATATCAATTACATTCTTAAGACAAACTTTACACATCTCTTAAGAATCTTTTCTTTACCTTGAATTCTAAACCACAGTCTGTAACTCTGAAGATATCACCACCCACTGACTCTCTTCCTATACAAATAAAATGTTCACAGTGCGAGTACGAAATGTAATCTCTGGATAAGGAAACATTAGTTATAGATATGGGTGGTATAATTATGACATTTATATTAATATAAATGCATGTATATTTATCCAGGCTTCTACCATAATACCTTTAAAACTTTGTATTCCTTGATTTCAAACATCAATTATGTAAGAACATTATTATCTTTTATTTCTGCTAAAATACATACTTAAGAAAAGTCAAGCTATAACTCCACTGCTTAATGGAAATTATATACACTATCAAGTTACATCCATGTTGAACTTATTTGACAAACGTTCTAGAAATAAAAAACATTTAAGGAACAAAATGTTTTTTTAAAAGTTCTAATAGATTACTGAAACTTACAATCTCTCCATCTGTTCCTATCCCAAATAAAGTTACTAAAACTTTAATATTTGAAATATTATTTTTAAAGTATGAATATTAATAGTTGCTATAACAAACATTCTAACAACTCATTTTGAAATCTGCTAAAAATACTTTTTGCTAACAACAAAAAATTAAGAGGAGTTGTAACAGAATGGAAATCTGATAAAAATCAGAATTGGAGGACTGGGGATTTATTTAGCTCAAAGGGACTGCACCTGCCTAGCAAACATCAAGGTCCTGAATTTGATCCCCAGTACCCCCCCAAAAAAAAATCAGAATTTGAGAAAAGTTAAACATGACCCTGAAGGGCTTTTCTTCAATTCTTCAACTCCCTCTCCCTCCACTGTCACAAAATGAGATGGTCAGTAAAAAACTAAAATGGTTAATAACAACAATGCACATCCCAAATTACCTAATCATGCCAAGGACTTTATTTCTCCTTTTACTAACTGCAATTTAAAAACTGGGCTACAAGGGCCTGGGATTTGATTTAGCTCAGTGGCACCACACCTGCCTCTGAAGCACAAGGTCCTTAGTTTGATCCCTGGTACCAGGAAGGAGGAAAAAAAAACAAAACAAAACAGGCTATATATGGGCTGAGGAGCAGCACAGTGCTTGCCTGACAAGTATAAGGTCATGAATTCATACCAAAAACAAACAAACAAAAAACAAACTACAAAGTGCCAATGTTTAGAGCAATAACTAAATTTCAAAGATAAACATTTGGTTTTTGCTTATTCCTTAAAGTTCAATCTGTCTCTCCTTGAATTTTAAAATACATCTATATTATGCATTATTTCATACACTGATGAAAACAAATTTTTTTCTCCTAAAGTTTCAACAATTCTAAATATGAAAATCAAACTAGACATAGGGATGCATGCCTATAATTCCAGATACTCAGGAGGCCTGGCCAGGATAATCACTTGAGCCTATGAATTTGAGAGCAGACTCAGCAACACAGTGAGATCTCCATATCAAAAAGTAAAATAAATAAATAAATATGAAAAATAACTACAGATTACCAAGGGAAAAAATACTGATGCAGAAATTTCCTTGCTCCTCCACATTCCTAACAAAAGCTTTACATTGAGCATGTAGATATAAAAGTCTTGGCACTCACTGAAATTCCTACCATCTTTCACAAAGCCCAAGGGGAAACTGAAGAACTTCATCTACCATTTAAATATTTTAAATACAAGTGACCTAAAAATCCCCTCTTCCCCTCCCTCTCCCCCACCTCTCTCTCGTACTGGGGATTGAACTCTGGACCTTGCACTTTCAAGGCAAGCATGATATCAGAGCTAAATCCCCAGCCCCTACCTCTATTTTAAATTTAATAAAACAAGAACTCTAAAACATTAGAATATTATAAAGGCACGGCCTAAATATCAATTTTTATGTTTCCTATCACCATCACCCCACCCACTTCAGCTATTTCAGAGACTGATGTCTTATTTGGCTTTGCCTCCTGCTACAGTTTTTACTTAGAAAGGCAACTCTATATTAATGAAACCAATTTTATTTTCTTAATGTTTTTCTAGAAAGATTCTTAATCTGTTGAAAATTTTAACATTTATCTCTATAAATATGTGTAAGAATTAGCCAATTTTAAGTAATTTTCTTTGCTCTGAAGTTAGGATTCAGATCTTCCTAGAACTACTAGCCTGTCATTTACTTACTCTACAGCTATTTAGCCATTAATACATCAGTTAGTTGTGTGTATGTTAGTGATCAGGAATATAAAACCTAATATGAACAAGGTTCCTGTTTATGAAGCTAAGAACCTAGTGTGGAGGTCAGGTAAATCAGCGGACAACTACAAAAACACAGGGATAACTAACTGCGGATGTAAGAAAGCACACGAGAATGCTACATGAACAAAAACAGAAGTCAGGTGTCATGGCACACACCTGTAATCCCAGTACTCAGGAGGCTGAGGCAGAATGATCACCATGAGTTTAAGGCCTGCCTGAGCTCCACAGTGAGTTCAAGACCAGCCTGAACTCCATAGCGAGCCCGTCTCAAAAGACCAAAGAGAACAAAAAAGGAAGGATGTTTCATCCTGTTATGGGACTAGATTCATCACATCCTGAAGGAGTAGCTGGCTTTCATGTGATGAAAGGAGGGAGGGTACTGGAGAATGGGGTCTAGGTGAGCTGTGAATGGCAAAGGTAGAGAGTACGCAGTCGTAGCAACTACAAACACTTCAATAGCATGTATGTTTAGAGTCTAAGACAGTGAACCTTTTAGAGATTGGGTGTCCAAACTGCAACCCAAAACCCACTTATTTATTGCAAAGTGTCAATGCTGCTACAAAACCTGAATATCTGATGCTTGGCTGCTGGGAAGTGCTTGGGTGACTGGGCTTTCGTGCCAACACAGAGCGCTTTGTGTGCCACAGGCCTGCCAGCACCAGTCTAGGAAGTATAACTCAAAGTAGTTAGGCAAAACTTAGCTTTTGTTGACTTCATCTTGAAACATTAAGGATACAAAGCAAAGAATGCAGTCACAGGAACTCACATTTGTATTTTAGAAAATGACCACTGACATACTGGCTAAGGCCAGGAATGTAGCTCAGTGGTGCCACACCTGCCTGGCAAGCTCAAGGTCCTCAGTTTGATCCCTGGTACCAAAAGAATAAAAATAAAAAAAGAATATTGGTGTTCTCTACTCGTGTTCGTGATGGAAGCAGCAGGTAGGGCTTCAGTACGCAGAGCAATGCCCTTGAGTTTGTGGACCTGTTCATGCCACAGAAATGCTCCTCCAGCAGCCACATTATTACCAAGGACCATGCATCCATCCCAATAACTGTGGCTGAGTTTGACAAGGTCACAGGCAGGTTTAACGGCCAGTTGAAAACCTATGCTATCTGCAGGGCCATTCGCAGGATGAGTGAACCAGATGACTCCATTCTACGATTAGTCAAGGCTGATGGCACCACCTCAAAGGACTTATGAGTGGAGAGAGTTATGGATGTGGAATAAAACTGCCCATGAAGAAACCGAAGCCCAGATGTCTACATCGGTAAACTCTACCAAATGTTTAAAGATTGCTCAATTCTTCCAAAAATAAGAAACGGAAGAGGAAGGAACACTTTCCAGATTATTTATGAGAGTAGTTTACCCTAACACCAAAACCAAATAAACACATCAAATGAAAACAGCAAACCAATGTCCTTTACCCAGAGGCAAAAACCATCAGCAAAATACTAGCCATAGATTCCAGTAATATGACAGAGATTATACACCATGACCAGTGGGATTTAGCCCAGACTTAATATGTTAGATTTATACATGAAACTTAGCCAATGCAAAACACTAAGTTAACCAAGTAAACACAACCACCACGTGATCTTTCTAATAAAGAAAATGCATTTGACAAAAATCCAACATTCTCTCAAAGAACAGAAGAGAACTTCCTGAACCTCATAAAGCACCTAAGAAAACCTCACAACTAATATTATACTTAATGGTGAAAGGCTGAATGTTTTTCCTCCATAAAATCTCGAACAAGGCAAAAATGTCCACTTTTGGTTCTTCTAAATGATACTTGAAGAAGTATTTGGTAAGACAAAGAAACGACATCCAGACTTTCAAGTAACATACAGAGTAAAACTATATCCCTTACACAGATGGTGTGATCTTATAAGTATGGTGTGATCTTATAAATAGGAAACCCTAGCAGATTCACTAAAAAAAGAAAAAAAAAAAAAAAAAAAAA